ATGTTATTCTAAAGATGCTGCATGTTGCTTGAGGAGGGATTCAACGAGAATGGGTATCCTGGACATGTCCAGTAAATGTGTGTGGATGGCAATGACATTATTAAACTGATCACCTAATGACAAATTAATTGACTAGTCACTGATCACTTCAAAAATGTTGTATTAGGTATTAATGCAGCTCTTTCACATCATACACTGTAAAATGAATTGGGGCAATTGTTAAAATAAATAATTTAAAAAATAGAAAAAGAAGTATTTCTCATTATTTTTGGAAGAGGCTGTATGGAATGAATTTTTTTCCCTTAAATGGAATTGATATGCATCTATGTTCTGGAGAGAATTAATTCACTGGTCAGACCTAAAATGAGGAAAAATGTTGTAAAATGTAGTTTTTTGCAGAATTGTAGTCAGTACCTGGCAAGCATTTGAAAGATTATCAAAACTCAATATTTGCCAATACCATGAGTCAGAAAATACAGTTATTTCAAAATCATGAATTTTCAAATCAGGACTAAGGGAAATAATTCTTCAATGAATATGAGCACACTTTGTCAGGAAATGAATTTTATGGTTAACAAAACAGAAAGAGTTGGAACTTCATTTTAAACCTGAATTTTCTTTTAATACTTAGAATCAGAAAGACACAAGTGAAAGTCATTAAACTTGTGTATATTTTTTTGGGGGGGAAACAAAGTGTATCAATACATAAAATGAAACTAATGCCTTTTGGAAGATTCTATTCACTTCTTTTGTTTGTTCATTTTCCTACCTTATTGCTCTTTTTATGTTCTTAATCATGTGTCTTGTCTCCTTGATAATATCTTCAAATTCATCATTATATAATGGCTACTTATTAAGCAACTGTCAAGGTGGAGATTGTAATAGGTACTGGAAATTAAAAGGTAATAGCAAAACTGTCCCTGACCTGAAGAAACTGGTGATCTACTGAGAGTAATCAACACATGCAAAAGCTGAGAAGAAAAAATATCCTTAAATGACAAAAGGCAAATTGCAGATTTCACACTAGGTACATATTAAACAAAAACATTGATGGAATGTCTGAGTCCACATGAGGACAGTATTCTGTTTTCTTGAGATTCCTTAAGTACAACAATTTGAGAGAAGTGGGTAAATTATTTACCTGAGAGAAGATACATTCTTGATTGACATAATGAATTAGGAGAAAAATATGAAGCCCTTTGAGCAAATTTTATTGTCTGAGTCATACATTTTCTCTGATGCTATCACACTTTAGGACTACAGATCTTGTTGAGCAGTGTATACAGTTCTTGTCCTAAAATTAGGAAGATGAATATTCAAACCTAGCCTCATAAACTAGCTGTGTGATGCTGGGCTATTCACTTAATTTTATTTGCATCAGTTTACTCATCTATAAAATGAGTTGGAGGAGTTGTAAACCACTTTGTTTTCTGAGGCAAAAAACAAACAAACAAAATCAAGTGGTAGCATAAAGAACCAGAGATGACTTAAAATGACTGAACTCATCTTACTTACATATATTTTTTCTGATGCTGGACCGGGTCTATCTCTTCTATTTCTCACTCAGGTAAGCCAGGCTTCTATTCGCTGAGCTGCATGAATTCACCACAAAATTACAACTGTTGTAATTAGAGTGCCTCTAGAGTCAAGTGTCCAATTTTTCTGACACCATTGTGTTCCATTTTTCAAAGTCCCACAATATCACATGTAAAATTTTACATTTAAAATGGTTGCTTCTTCTTGTTCACTTGTGTTCAACATTTTGTGACCCCACTTTGGGTTTTCTTGGCAAAGTTGCTTAAGTAATTTGTCATTTTCTTATCTAGCTCTTTTACAGATGAGGAAAATGAGATTAAGAGAGTTTAACCATTTCCACAGGGTCTCACAGCTAGTAAGTGTCTAAGGCCAGATTTGAACTCCAGGCTCAGCCGTCTATCATATAGACCACCTAACTGCCCCCAAAAAGTTGGAATTTTCACAGAAATACAGATTTAAACAATTATAAAATATTAATAGCTCAAGTGTGCACTGAGACAATATAATAAAAATCATAATTATACCTAATAGTATTTATGAATTCAGTTGCACACCAGTCAAACTACAAAAGAAGTGTTTTATACAGGAAGGGAAATAATAATATTCTTCAAGGGAAACAAATGACCAAGAATATAAATATAATCAATAAAAAAGTGAAAATTGGTTGCCTAAAAGTATAAGACTTTAAACTATTTTAAAAAGCAGTAATCATGAAAAACAATCTAGTACAGGCTAAAAAATAAAGTGGTGAATCAGTGGGATAGATTAGGTCCACAATACCTACTACTAAGTAACCATAGCAATCTATTGTTTGATAAACACAAACTTGCAAGCTTTGGGGGGCAGAACTCATCATTTCCTAAAATTGCCAAGAAAATTAGAAAGCAGTTTGGCAGAAAGTAGGTACAGACCAACTTCTCATGCCACATACCAATATAAAGTCAAAATGGGTTCATATTGTATACTTAAAGGATAATATGAGCAAATTAAGGAAGCATAAAAAAATTACTTGTCCTTTTAAGGAGAAGGAAAGATTTTCTGATAGGAGATAGAGAATATCATGAAAGGCCAAAGTGGAAATTTTGATTACATTAAATTAAATTAAAATTAAAAAAAATTAAAAAAAAATAAAACCAATGAACATAAAATTAGATGGGAAACAATAAATTGGAAATAATACTGTATGGCAAGTTTCTCTGATGAAAGCCTCAGTTCTCAAATATCAAAGGAAATGAATGAAATTAATAAAAAATAAGAGTCTTTCAAGACTTGTTAAACAGTCAAAATAGCTATATAGTCAGTTTTTAGATGAAGAAATCAAATTTGTCAATATTCAAAGAAAATATCTTAATCACTAATAATTAGAGAATTTCAAGGTAAAACAACTCATAACTACTAACTCAAATGTATAAAACTGTCAATATGAAAGAAAAGGAAAATAACAAATGACAGAAACAATATGGAAAAAAAGGATCATTAATTCACTGTGCATCTAGTTGTGAACTTGACCAACCATTCTGGAGAACAGCTGGGAACCATGGCAGTGTAAGGACATTTTGGAGATTACACTCCAGGGGTAATAAACCTTCCAAAATAAGAAAACTTTCCCAACTAAATTGACTCATGTCTCTCTGTTCCCCAACACATCATCACCATTGCATGAGTTTACTCTGTGTTAATATATATTTTTAATTATATTAAGGGTCTCCTTCTCCCTTCTTCCCTCCCTATTCCCTGTCCCCATCTTCCCAATCATGTTTCAATCAAACTTTGCATTAAATTGAGGTCACTGGTTTACATATTATTCCTGTCATCTAAATTTATTAAGGATTTTTTTTCCCTCCTAACTCTGAATAGCCCACTAACCTCTCTATAAACATAAATGTACTTTTCACAGAAGGTCTTAATTTATTGACAGTTCTTCATCTATTTGACTTTTACTCTGTGTATGGTTAAAATGAACTGTTCATGGTCAGAGATCTCTTTCAGAAGTCTGTGTAATTTCGATGAGCATGATAAAACCATGGCATATCACCCACAAACAGAAGTCTGGAATATAACAAATGCTTCAGGAAATTAGGCAGAACACTGAATTTTGTCACTTATTACTATATGGTTAATTTTCATGACTTGATCATACAAAATTAAATAAACATCTCCATTGCTTCAGGGATATGTCCTCATGGGGACAGACAAAACCATAAAGTCCAAGTCTAGCAGCAGACAGTACAGATTAGATGAAGAAGCTACAGAAGATTCTACCTTCCAGGTAAGCATGTAACATTATTCTGTGTTTGTGAACTTCCAAGGTAGCAGGTATCAAAAATATGGTGTCCAAAAATCTCAGTTCAAAAACTCCATCACTATGCCCCTTGTGGCAGTGAACAGGAAAATTTTGTGGCCTTGAGTTGAATTTGATCACATTGAAATGACATAAAATTATACTAGGAAAGCCATCAAATTACATTTCCTGTTAACAATTGTCACAGAAACTTTTCTGCAATCAGAGAAATCAAAGGATTTTGATCACTAATAATATGTGGGATCAGAGTGATCTTTGAGTCAATAGTATGTAACTGGAAATTATCTGAACTAGAAGCATTTTTAAATATCTTTTCATGTCTCTTGGAAAAAAGATACTTTAAAACACCAAAATTGCTAGGCTATTTAACCTTCATAATCCAGGTGAAAAATATTTTCTGTCTGATAAGATAAAAGAAAGGGAGATTACAGAGAGTGAGTAGATATATGGAGTTTCCCTGGATAATATACAATTAATGACTACATAAGGTAAAGATTGTAATAGATCTTGGGCTTTTACCTTCAATTGTTTAGGGAACTCCTAAAAAAGGAAAGTCCATCTCTCAGTACTGGCCATTACTTTGGAACTGATCGTCATAGACAATGACCCAACAACTAGAAGCTTACATGACTAGCACAGGATTTTGGGAAATTTGTTGCATATGTAATTGATCCTATATTAATTTAGTTTCAAAGCAAACTTGTTACTTAAATCACCAGAATTCTACCATAAGGTGATCTTACATCCTCTTTTCGATAATAGTATGCCATTATAATCTTTTGACCCATTGATTTTTGAAATTATATTAGAAAATGTCCCTACTATTCTCCTGTCCTATCACTTGGAGAAAAGTAGTTTCATAATTTACTATTTTGTAGAATAAAACCACATTCACTATCCTCTTTGTAACAGGATAGTGCTACGACATGATATGATAAGATGTGACATTGAATAAAATGATGCAATGCAATATTATTTCAATTTGAATTAATTCACAACATGCTCCTAAATGGATAAAATTATATTGCAGTTGAGTGGGAAAATTCCTGCTCATCCCCACCTAAAACATTTCTACCCATTAACTTCTTGGTTATCTATGCAAACAGTACTCAAAGAAGGCTTCTTTCTTTTCTTCTCAGATCATGTTCCTTGTACGGTAGAAATGATCAACCTGAGTGAAACCCCAGGGAGCCAAGTGACTGAATTCATCCTCATGGGCATCACAAATCGTTCTGAGCTCAAGGGCCCCCTCTTTGTTGTGTTTTTGCTCAACTACATGGCCATAGTTGTTGGGAACATGGGCCTGATCATCATAACCAGTGTTGATTCCCACCTCAAAACCCCCATGTACTTTTTCCTTAGGCATCTGGCATTTGTCGATCTTGGATATTCCACAGCTATTGGGCCAAAAATGTTAGTTGGATTCATAGAGGAGTCAAATGTCATTTCTTATAATGGATGTGCAATACAGCTAGCTTTCTTTGTGATATTTATTGCCAGTGAACTTTTTATTCTCTCAGCCATGGCCTATGACCGCTATGTTGCTATCTGTAAGCCCTTCTATTATATGATCATCATGTCAGACAGGGTATGTTGGCTCTTGGTGGCTATGTCTTACCTCTATAGCATTATGATATCCCTACTTGTCACAATAAAACTTTTTAAATCATCTTTCTGTAGATCAAATGTAATAAGGCACTTCTACTGTGATGGCCTCCCCCTGTTGTCAATCATATGCTCAGAGACAAGTGAGATAGAACTAATCATTATTATCTTTTCTGCATTTAATTTTGTTTCTTCCCTCTTGATTATCCTTACCTCCTACATATTCATTCTCGTGACCATCCTCAGGATGAACTCTTCTGAGGGTAGGCAGAAAGCCTTCTCTACTTTTGGTTCTCACCTCACTGGGGTGGTTATATTCTATGGGACACTATTCTTCATGTACGTGCAGCCCCAGTCTAGTCATTCCCCTGATGCAGACAAAATGGCCTCTGTCTTTTACACTCTGGTCATCCCCATGATCAACCCTTTGATCTACAGCTTGAGGAACAAAGAAGTGAAAGGTGCCTTGAAGAGGCTTTTCAAGAAAATGATGTAAGCCTTCTCTTTAAGGCCCAATGTAGCTTATGATTCCATTTCATTTTTGGAAGCCTGCAAATATGTACTAGATTTCTTTCAAATTCTCCATGGTTCTCTTGCCTTTTAGAGAGAAATTTTTTCTCTTAGTCAGTGAATGATTTTTTATTAATTGTTATCATTTTTTTCAGTGGTTAACCTCCAAAAAATCCTAGTTTAGTGAACCATTTAATTAAAGGGACCTATTAGAGGATTAATACAAAATATCTATCTAAAACAATATATTTATTTATATACTGCAATAGTAAACATCCTAACTTTATTTTAAATTTCCTTGCCTGGAAAATCAATTAACAAGCCTTTAGAAAATGCTGATGCCAACTACTATTATAGGCATTGGGCCTCCATAGATAAAAAAAAAAATATATAGTTTTTGCCTTCTGTGAACTTACACTTTATTAATGGCAGCATTATGTGCAAGAAAGTCATAGAGCAGTCAATCTCCTTTTGAATGTCTCTTCCTGTTAAGAAGTCCTTATCAAAACCTAAATTTCCCCCTCTAAGATTTCCAGATATTCCTGGCCTTCTCTGTCAATAGAACAAGTTGATTCCTTCTTCTTTATAATAATTGTTCAAATTCTTGGAGAAAATTTCCATCCCTTCCACCAGATTCAGTCCCAGATGTTTGTCATTTTTGTGGTGGATGGAAAGAACACTGGGTTATACAGGGTATCCCCAAAATCTAAGGTTATATTTAATTTTCTAAAACTTAATGTAAATCAGACATTTTGGGACATTCTGTACAGGTAGAAGACCTGGGTTTGAATAAATGTCTATTACTTTTGGTTACTTTATCTTCTCTGACTCCCACTCATCTATACAATTTGGGAGTTTATGACATAAATTTTGAGTGCTACTTCACTTAAAATTCTATGATGCCATGAACCTATTTTTGTGCTAACCGCATAGTCTGCACTTAGTACTCACATGTCATGTTCTTTTTAAAATTCACTTTCACTTAAATGCAAAACCAGAAAATAAAAAAAAAATGTACTTTACCATTTACACAGTAGAACACAAGAGAGGATTCAACATAAAACCATAAATTTCCATTTCAAGAAATCCTATATAATAAATACTACACATTGTTTTCAAAGCTGTTCAGCTTTTCTTTGCTACTTTATGTTTTAATTTGTCCTCTGTTGTGCACTTTTTACTTCATTTTCCCTTCCTTTTCATTCCATCTTCTCCTCTAAAGAAGGCTGCAAGTAAACATGGACATAGATAGATAAATAGATAGATAGATAGATAGATAGATAGATAGATAGATAGATAGATAGACAGATGTGTATAAACACACATGTATACACATCTACACTCATATACAAACATGTAAGACTGTACTATACAGATTTTTACTTGTCATCTCTTTATCTGAATGTGGATAGCATCTTCCTTCCTAAGTGTAAGTCTTTCCATCTTTTTCTAAATCAACCAGTTCATCATTTCCTATACTACAGCAATATTCCAACCCAATCACATCCTATCTGATAGATTGTCTATGGGAGTTCCCCCCAACCAATTTTCTGTATTCTTTCTATTCTTGGCTACAATGCCTTTATTTATACCAGAAAATTTTAAATTAAAATAATAGAAATTACTCATTTCACACTTTAACCATGCTCTCACCATACTGTTAAAGGTCTGATATTGCTGAATCTTTTTCCTTTGTATGGTTTTACCCTGTTTACTTTGAATTTACTGATCTCTTGTTCTTCCAAATGAACTTTATATTTTTTTTTTCTAATTCAGTAAGATTTTTTCAGGAATTTAATGGTGATAGTACTGAATAGATTAATTAAATAAAATTGTCATTTTTTTATTATGTTGACTTTGCCAACTCACGAACAATAAATTTCACTTCAACTATTTAAATCTGGCTTTATTTGTATATAAAAGTGATCTGTATTTATGTTCATATAGTTCTTCTTTGCATTTAGGCAAGTATACTCTCTGGTATCTTATACTGCCCATTTATTTTAAATGGTCTAAAACAACATTGAGTAATATTGTTGACACATAGTGTCAACTTTTCATTGTCTATTGTTGTTTTAACTGTCTCTGATATCATGATTTACTATCTCTGCTTTTTTGTAATATAATAAAGTCTTCTCTTGCCTTTTTATTTTATATTTGTTGCATATCAATTATTTTTATATTGCTTTGTGGAAGTAACATATTGTTAAATTGAAATTTTTTATCTGCTATCCATTTCTGCTTTATATGTAAATTCATTCCATTCACATTATAAGCCTTAATTACTTGTGTATTTTTCTCCTTCCTTTTATTACTTTCTATTCTTCTGACCCTATTTACCAAGTTCCTCTTCAAGAAACCTGCTACTTTACCCTCTTATTCATTAACCTAACTCACCTCCTAAAGCCCCTCCCTTATCACTTTTCTCCTGCCTTATCCCTTTCCCCTCTTATTTCTTTCTGAATTTGGAAGACTTTTGTACACTTCTAATTATATACATTATTCTCTCTTTAACCAATTCCAGATCATAGTAAGGTTTCAGCACTATCTGTTCTTCCCCCACCAGCTTCTTCTGTATCAAATTTTCCTTTTGTGCTTCATTTGTATGAGATAATTATTTTTTCTCTCTTTGTGAATGATTTTATCCTTTTTGGAAACAATCATATATAGCTCAGCCCAAGATTTTCTTTCAAATTACCCAAATAATGATGACAGTAATAAGAGTATTGATAAAATTTTCACATATAAGAAATGAATAATTTGGCCCTATTGAGTCCATTATTATCCATATTTAATAGTTGTGAGCAATTACTGAGGTGTAAATTGTTACCTGTAACTCTAGATTAAAGTGAATGCATCATTCTCAAACTCAGCGGAATGACATATATGACATATAGACATATACATATTATATATATATATGTATATACCTGTCATTCCTCTAGGTTTGATAATGATATATACACATATATACATATATATACACATACATACATATATATGTCTGTGTGTATGTATATATGTGTATGTGTATACATATTACATATGTTATGTGTGTTATATATATTATATTTGAATTGAAGATATAATTCTGACTTGATATTCTTTTCAAAGGTCTTCCAAACCTACTGCCACTTTCTTTTAATTATTATCATAACTGGGAGATTAATCACTCCCTAGCAGTATAATGTCTGTGCCTCTTTGTCAAGAGCTCCTCATGGATGATTCCCTTATCTCCTCAAAATCCCTTTATAGTCAATAACGCTGAGAAATCTGGTGTGGAATAAAAACAAGCAAGAAATGCATGAGCAAATGAGAGTTTAAAAATGAGAGTTCACATAAGAGAACATGTTGAAAAGGTACCTAACTTATTATTTAAAATACTGGAACTGAAACATAAGAGAGGAAATGGAACAGCCAGGATACTGTGATAGCCTGGAATTCTTATAATTCATTTCTTTAAGATCATTATGATAATATGCCATCATGAGGGAACTCTGTACCAGAAATCCTATGAATGATACAGTACCAAAATATGAAATTCACCTGGGATAGTGCATCGTAGTGGAAAAAATGCCATATCCACGGAAAATTTGATTCAGTATCATAAAGGCCAATATCGGTCAAGTGATGAGTTATAACACAGAGATGAAAAGTCATTTCTGCCTAGTATTTAACAATATTGAGTTGGAAACATATTCATGACTTAAAGATGAATCTGACAAAACAATATTTGGACCCAAAAGTATAAAGAATAATAGTAAAGATAGATATGTATTTGAAGAGAACATATAATATGAAGTCAAAGTTAATTGGAAAATACATATGTAAGAAATTTTTTAAAAAATCTTTTTAAGTTATTAAAATCGACAAAAATTTATCTACAAAAAGTATAGCATTCTTTCACAAATATAGAGTCCAGTGAAAGCTAGGGTAACCAAAAAAAATTCTATTCATGTTTTTTTTCTTCTTCTTCCCCAAGACAGGCATGCCTGGGGTACTGAGACCCTGCTACTTTTAGAGGAGCATGGCACATTTGAGGAAGTAATGATCAGTCAGGTGGCCACCACTATAATCCAGGACTCATTCTCTTGTTGAGTAGGTTATCTCTTCCACTGTATCTATATGAATGACTTAGGACTGGAGGTGCTGGGCAGTAGGTTCTTTGTTCTTCTGATCTAACCAACAGTTCAGTGGGAAAAGTATATACACATGATTCATCATGTTTCTAGAAGGCCAAAATAAGCAAAGTCACTCACTGCTAGTAAAAAAAAAAAAACACAAAATTCCTTCAAAAATTCTACATAAGTATTAAACTGGGAAAATGAACTCGATTATCCCCTGTTAAACAAAATTGATAACACAGATTTCTTGGATAAGTGCTCCATTGCTAGAAAAGAAAAATTACTGGGAGCACTACAGAGTAGATTGGAAGAAATTAGGTGTAGACTAATCTCATACAGGGTCAGCTAATTGACAGAGAGGGAGGGTTACAAAGACTGGAGTGAAAGTTCAGCCTGAGAATGCATATGGGCTGTGTGACCCTGGCAGGTCTGCCTTACTTTCCTGATGTGTGAAGCAGGAACAATGCAGAATCTACCTCCCAGGAAGGATGTAAACATCAAATGAGAAAATGATTCTCAAGTGTTTACAACAATGACTATAACAGAGTCACTATTACCTAAATGCTTATTATTATTGTTATTATCATTGAGAATATTCCATAGGAAATGTGAAGTGGATGCATGACCTAAATATAAGAGGCACCTTATTAAGGGAAAACAGAAGACAACAAGATCAGGTACTTAAGTGTTATGGCTGTCAAATAAGCAACTAACAAGAACCAAGCAATCTGTCCTACACAGGATGATCAGCATTGGGCATACAAAGACAAAAATAAACAAATAAATGAATATACAAAGCAGTGGAAGGAGAAAAAGGAGTTGCTCATGAGTACCAGAGCCAGGACTTGAGCTTTGAACATCA